GCCTCTTTTAAATCCTATAGGCAGTTCCCTATTTGTATACTGTTCTAGCCATTTTTTTAATGATCTTCAACAGTACTTTGCTTGCATGTGATATTATTCAAGAATTTCCACATTCAGTTGGGTCACTTTTCTTGGGAATGGGAACAAATATGAATCTCTTCCAATCCATTGGCCAGACAGCTGTATTCCAAATTTCTTGGCATAGACTGGTGAGCACACCCAAGGCTGCATCCTTTAACTGAAACAAATTAATTGGTATTCCCTTGATTCCTGGGGCCTTTTTTTCCCCCTTTTTCGCCAATGCCTTCAAGGCAGCTTCCACTTCCTCCTCCATTACTATTGCTCCTGTTTATATAGTACTTCCTGAAATTTTTCAGTGTAAATCAGTTCTTTCTGGTACAGTGATTCTGTGTATTCCTTCCATCTTCATTTGATGCTTCCTGGATCATTCAATATATCACGTATAATGTCTTTCTGTATTGTCACTCAAGACTAAAATTTGTTTTTCCGTTCTTTCAGCTTGAGAAATATTCTCTTTTTATTCTGTAATTTCAGCTCTCTGCACATTCCATTATAATACTTTGTCTTCCCAAACTGCCCCTTGAAATCTTATGTCCAGCTCTTTTACTTCACCATGTTTTCCTTTAGTTTTGGCTTCTTGATGCTCCAGTGCAATCCTTAGAGTTTCTTCTGACAAACGTTTCTATTTTTTCTTTCTCCTCTATTTTTGTAATGACCTTTTGCTTTCTTCTGGATATCTTTAATATCGTCTCACAACTCACCTGGTCTTCAATCATTGGTGTTCATTGCCTCAAACCTATTCCTAAGATAATCTTGAAATTCAGATGGAATTGATTAAAGAGCTTATCTTGGTGTTCCTATGAATTTATATTCATTTGCTTTGGCCTCAATTTGTACTTGCAGATGAGTAATCGATGATCTGATCCGCAGTCTGCCCCTGGCCTAGTTTTGACTATTGATACTAAGTTTCTCCAGTGATTTCTTTAATCAGTGCAGTCCATCTGATTCCTATGCAGACCATCAGGTGACATCCATGTATAAAGTTGTCATTTGTTTCTTTTTAAAAAGGTTTTTGCAGTGAAGAAATCATTGTAAATACAAAATTCATTAATTCTGTTTCCAGCCTCATTTCTATCACGAAGCCCACTCATGCGGAACCTATACCTGGACCAGGAGGCTGTGGTGCCAACAAAGCAAGGGAGCACTGCATGGTTTAAAATTGAGAAGGGAGTTTGTCAGGGTGGTATTCTCTCTCCATACCTATTCAATCTGTATGCTGAGCAAATTACCCAAGAAGCTAGACTCTATGAAGAGGACTGTGGCATCAGGATTAGAGGGAGACTCATCAATAACCTGGGTTATGCACACTACACAATCTTGCTTGCTTAAAGTGAGGAGTACTTGAAGCACTTGTTGCAGAAGATTAAAAAATAAAATCTTCGATATGGATTGCATTTTAATGTCAAGAAAACAAAGATTCTTACCACTGGACAGATGAGCAGCATCTTGACGGATAAAGAAGCTATTGAAACTGTCAACAGCTTCATCTTGCTTGGATCCACAGTTAGCACCCTTGGTACCAGCAGTCTGTAGATAAGGAGAGGCATTGCACTAAGGAAGTCTGCAGTCAGAGACTTCTTCAAATTATTGAGGAGTAATGATGTCAATTTGAGGACTAAGGTGCATCAGATAAAGGCTATAATCTTTCCAATCATTTGCTGTACATCTGAGAGCTATACAGTGAAAAAGGATGATAGGAAAAGAATTAACGCCTTTTAGCTCTGATGTTGGAGAAGAGCACTGACCATCTTATGGACGGCCAAGAGAATGAGCATATATGTCTTAGAGAGGGTGCAGCCAGAGTGCTCTTTGAAGGCAAGAATGATGAGACCTTGCTTCACATACTTTGGTTTTATTATTATTATTATTAAATTTTATTAGTTTTAATGAACATTTACAGGGATTTTAGGTTTTCACTCCTTCATTGCTGCACCATTCTCTCTACCCTCCTCCCCAGTTTGTTCTTCTTCCCCCGCCATCCGAATGTCTGTTTTAATTGTCCAATTGCCACAGTGCTTGTCAAAGTCAGCTCTGATTAATCTCCTTTGTCAGTGTGTCCCTTGCCATTCCCTATCACTCCTCCCTGAGAGAGACTCCACCCTGATTCATAAGGAAAAGGGGACGGCGTATTCTCTTAGCTACTTCCTGCTGAAAAGGGACGCTGTGGGTTTCAGGGGCTTCACATACTTTGGACATGTTGCTAGGAGGTGCTAGTCCTTGAAGAGGGACATGGTCCTGGGAAGGGTGGAAGATTAGCAAAGGAGAAGAAGACCCTCAACCAGGTGGATTGGCATGGTGACTGCCACAGTGGGCTGTTGTGTGTCAAGAAGTATTAGGATGGCACAGGATAGAACAGGGTTCGATCTTTTGTTCATAGGATCGCTGTGAGTCATACTTGACTCAGCAGCACCTAACAACAACAACAACAAGCACCCAACAAAGATTCCGTTTACATTCTTCTCAAGTGTACATGGTACATTCTCCAGAATTGATCATATTAGGGCATAAAGCAAATCTCAACCAATTAAAAATATTTCAATAATATGAAATATCTGTTCAGACCACAGTGCCATAAAACTAGAAATCAACAAGAAGATAAAGCTTATAAAACCACCTCTGTGGAAGCTAAATAACAGCATGCTAGAACACAATTAAGTTATAGAAGAAATAAAAAATGAAATAATAGAGTTTCTCAAAGCAAATGAAAATGAAAATACAACATACCAAAACCTCTGGACTACAACTCAGACAGTCCTGCAAAAACATTTAAAAAGGGAAGAAAAAGTAAAATTAATGATTTAACTCAATATCTCCATCAAATAGAAAAAGAATAACATTCTAACCCACAGAATCTAGAAGAAAGGAAATTAAAAGAGCTGAAATCAATGAGATAGAAAAGAGAAGAACAGTTGAAACCATCAATAAGACTAGGAGCTGGTTCTTTGAAAGGGTCAAGAAAATTTGCAAACATAACCAAAAAAAGAAAGAAGACAAAAATATTTGAATAAGAAATTATAAAGGTGACATCACAACAGAGCCAGATGAAATTAAATTGATAATATCAGAATATTTGCAAAGCTATCCTCTGATATTCTGAAAATGTAGGGGAAATGGACAAATTTCTTAAAATTCAGACCTTACCCAGAATGACAGGGACAAATGTAGAACATTCAAACAGACCCATCACAAAAGAAGAAATTGACCGGCAAGAATCTGCACTGCAATTCCAGGAGAGGAAGACACAGGATGAGATGGATTGATTCAGTGACTGGAGAAATGGGATTAGGTCTGTCAGAGATGAGGCCATTGGCACAGAATAGGGCTCTTGAAGAGCTAGTGTACATAGAGTCACTATGAGTTGCAGGCAACTCAGTGGCACATAACAACACAACAGAAAGACCAAGAAGCTGTTGTCTGCATGAAACAAGGGAACACTTTGTAGTTTGAAATCAGGAAGTATATATATGTATCAGAGTTGTTTCATTTCTCCATACCAGTTCAATCTGTCCACTAAGCAAATAATTTGTGAAGCTGCAGTCTATGAGAAAAAAATGTGGCATAAGGATCAGCCCCTGGTGGCCGTGTCCTCACAAATCCTGTCTGCTGTGATGTTGTCAATGTAGGTGTTCCACCCGGCCATGTCTCTTCTATTGGACTGTTCTAAGTGTTGTTGCTGGGGCTGCGGGTCGAGCTCTGGCTTCCTTGTCTGGCAGGCCGGAGTGGGGGGAGCGAAGAGTTTGGGACGCACACTACCGTCCAGACCCCCAGGCCTCTTCTAGCTCTTGTTAACCTTTCAGAAAAGACAAGTGATGTTATCTTTTATTACTTAGTAAATATTTTTTAAAATATATAAAAATCAACTCCATTATTTTCCTTTAAAGAAAAAGTGATGCTTTATTAATGAGATAAATTCAAGGCTACCAAGTGAGTATTTTGAAAATTATTTTGAAGAATATCTCTAATATGTGATTTTTTTTTATACTGAAAATGCTATAAAATGCCATAAAACTTCCCTGTTTACATACCTTAAAAATGTAGTAGCAAGATTTAAGAATATTCTGAAGCATTGCAATTGGTTGTAAATTGAGCTGTCTAAAAATAAGTAAATGTAACATCTCATTAGTTTTCAAAAGCAACTAAGGGTCTTTCTACCAGATTTCACCAAGAGCTTTCTGTGGATGTTGAAGAAGATTGAAAAATTAATTTCATGATCTAGTAAATTTTCACTGAGGAAATTATATTCAAAGTTAAACATTTTTAAAAAAAGAAACCCTGATTGTCAGGTTATAAAACCCTGCTTAATGGTGTACCTTTGATACTCATCAAAGGGGAAAGCTAATTAATTCACTGCTTTAAGAATCTGAGCCAAATAGCTGGTAAACTATTGATCTTTACTATTTGTCTTTCACTGTTAATGAATTAGAATATTTGTAAGGGATTCTTTAAGCAAACTTAGCCGGTACAGGGGCTGATGTACTTGGATGCCAATCAGTTCATTAGCTTGATCCCACCAGAGTCCGTAGTTTGAACTCACTGGCCACTGTGCAGAAAAGACATTTGGCCATCTGGCACAGCTACAGCCCTGGAGATCCTAGGGGACAGGTTCCAACCCTTCTGCCTTGTAGAGTCACTAACAGTCAGAATCTGCTGTACAGTAGGAGATTTTGGTTCTTGATTAAGGGCTGCTTTACCTCTGGTGAGGGGAAACCCTGTATATTTAATTGGAAATCTTATCATTTTCTAGTTGGTAAGTGTTTAGAGATAAATTTCCTATTGCCTCATGATAATGTTTCATCTGATAAGCAATCCTTTCATATTTTAATCTGAGGATCTAACTGAACCAATATGTCACTTATACCTTCAGAGTTTGTGCTTTTCCGTCGTATTTACAGACATATATTCCATTCTTCCCCCCACAGTAAATGGAGTTCCTTGGCCTCAAGAGGCAGCACGGCGAAATAGCCATACCTTTAACTGCAGGATGCTGATCCACCCTCCAGATGAGCCAGGCACTGAGAACCAAGAAGCGTGCCAGCGGTATGAAGTAATGCAATGTTTTACTGTGTCTCAGCCAAAATCAATCCAAGAGGATGGAGAAGGTAAGCAGCAAGTCATTGTGAAGTCTTTGGTTGTTTTTTTCCATAGCTTGAGGAAGGAGATAATGGAACATAACTCTCCTCTTCTAGTGGCATTTTTCCTTATTATGTGTCTCGTCAGCTTACTGAGTATCTCTTTATTTTTCAGTCTAAAACAACTGCTAACGTCTAGATTTATCCCTTTAATAGGCCCCAAATTCTCAATTTTGAGCTGGCATTCCCACTGAAAATGTCAGACACAAACCAACTTTTGCCCAGAAACTGCTGCCAGTTGGGAGGGAGCTGGAGCAGCAGGTTTCTGAGCAACTCTGAATTGTAGGACATTTCAAGTATGGAGAACACAGGAGAGAAGCTCTGGCATTTTTAAAGCCATAGAAGTAATTTATAAGAAGAAAGCTTACAAGTAGATGAAAACAATCATACAGCCACGCTGAAGGCAGTTTGGCACTTCCTCAAAAAGCTGAACATAGAAAGTCCATATGACCCAGGAGACACAAATACAGATTTGTACACCAGTGTTCATATCAGCGTTATTCACCATCACAATAACATGGAAACAGTGCAAATGTCCGACCACAGTCAAATGGATTGAGAAATTATGGTACATTCACACAGTGAAATATTACACAGCACACAGAAGCAATGATTTTGTAAAGTATTACCTAACTTGAGAAGGACTGGAGAGCATTATGCTGAGTGAATTAACTCAGTCCCATAATGACAAATATACTATATAAAACCATTACAGTAGAATGAGTATGAAGATCCATGGGAGGGGAGGTGGAAGCAGAGGGGTGAGAATGTGCGGGCGAGGTGAGGTTTAATCATGGGGTCGCACAATTTGATGGGTGGGGAGAGTGAGGGAAATGAGAAGGATCTGGTGTGAAAAAACAATATATTCAAATTTTGTAAATAAACTAGTATAAAAAATAAGTAGATGAAAACATATACTTGTGAACATGACATCAAGATAAAATGAATTAAACATTTGACTGTGGGTGAGTTTTCCATGTAAACTTAAAGTAGGCTAAGTTTAGGAACAGCCAGAAATTGGGAACTGAAGGGCCAGAGAAAGTAGTAAATGTATGAAAGATCATGTATCAGCGGGTCTCACAAAGGAATATGTGCCAGAGACTGTTAGGCACTTTTACAAAATGTGCATGCTAAGATGTTTTCTTGATGTTTAGCTGTGTGAAAATGTATGTGACTCCCACAAACTAAAACTTAGACATTGAAAAAATGGGATATCCTAAAACATAATCTTTTGTCAAGAGGGAGAGAATGTTTTCCAGAAATAATTAAATATCATTTTTCTTACATGAAAGTTCTATCTGTACAGTGTTTTTAAGAATAGCCACTGGTAATTGTAGAAATTTTACTGTAAAACTATTACTTTTTTTAAAAAAAATCTTCCCTTTCTTAAACTTAACCAAAAACTTCTTGTTGTATTTCTTACTTTGCAAGTATATGAGACATCCCATCTCTTCTAGTTCACTTTATACTAATTAGATCTCTACCTTAAACAGCTAGATATTTGTTGTTGTTGTTGCTAGCTATTTTCCTTCTAATACGCTGTTAGAGCAAAATCATTCCATTGTTATGTCAGGTTCTGTATGTGTACTTTTATTTTATTTTCATTTTTACAATATGTATTTACAATATATAAGAAACATTAATACTTATCTAGTATAAAAAAAGAAACATTTACATACTTAGTACATACAGATATACACAGTAATAAAAAGAAAAATTTAACTTATTTCATATATTTAAACTGCTAAGTGTATCTCCAAGTGTGTCTGACATTTAGCTGGAGAATGTTCTCCCTTATCCCGAGGTGTTAAGACTTCCTTCTGTGCATGACCCACTTTTTAAAAAATTTTATTTTATACTGGTTTACTTAGAAGGTTCATATACATTGTTTTTCACACCAGATCTTTCCCCTTTCCTAATAATTACTTAACAAGCGATGCCTGCAAGTAGTTGTATTCCTCCGTTTCTTCAATTTGTCTCTCCTGTTTGGGACAGATTTCCAGTCATGTTTGATTTGCATTGCTCGGCGATTACCTCGGCCTCCATCCATTACAGGTGTCGAATCCTTTATGACCAAGCAAGATACTACAGGTACTGACTGTGACATTAAGAATAATCCATACGTGCTAATAATATGGCTGTGCTTTTAATACTGTCTCCAAAATTGTGCACCCTGTGTTCCTATATTTGGCTTCTGTTTCCTGGCTTCCCATAGAAATCTTTTTTTTTAATTGGTTTTCATTCAGTTACTTATACATATTTTTTAGCAATAATTACCATTGTATAATGACATTATTTACAACATCCTGTAGAAACCTCAGTGCATTCTCCCTTATGGAAAGCATTTTAATTAGTGGTCTTGACACTATATGTTTTAGATACTATAATCATTCTAGTAGACAGAATGCTAGGTAGTATCATTTTTATAATTATTTATAATTTCAGAAGAACTTGTTTTAAGAGATTTGGCTGTGGAGAACATTGTTGTTGTTGTTGCAAACCGTAGAGTTGGAGGTAACCCATAGTTGGCCCTCCGGAGAGTTTTCAGAGGCAGTTGATCTCTTGGGAGGAGATTGCTCATCCTTTTCCTGTGGAGCAACTGGTGGCTTCGTACCATGTGCCTTTGGGATTGCAGCGCAGCTTCTTGCCACCAGAGCTCCCTGTGCATACATAGTCATACTTATTTTATGAGTGGTCATGGATGTGGTAGTTATAATATTATACCCAAATGTATCTAGAGTTTGTTGTTGTTATGTGCCGTCAAGTCACCTGCAATTTATAGCGACTCTATGTACAGTAGCCCTAAACCCTGCCTATCCTGTGCCAATCTGGAGCCTACATTTTTTAAAATGATTTATTCAACACACATTAAATGCCTAGAAGTATCTCTCACTTATTGTCACTGCGTATGGTTGTTCAAGGGTGTGTGTGTGTGTGTGTGTGTGTGTGTACACAAAAAGCAAAGATGTAATTTGAAATTGTGAAATATGTTATCCTGAAAAAAGGTGTGTGATGGTATGAGTGACACTAACAGAGAAATCTTGTTTTAAAATGAACTGATCAGGGGAGCCTTGAACCCTGACGGGAGTGGTGGTGCAGCACTGCAGTAAGTAAGGTGTAGAAGGATCATAGTGCCAGAGTGAGCGCTCCAAACTGAGGAAGCAGAGCTGCAAAAGCTTGAGCTTGGTGACGAGGAGGCCTGTGGAGCAGTTGAGTGTCTGAAAATAAGGCCGCCTTTGTCAAGATCAGCTTCAGATTTGATATTTAGCAAAGGAAATTTTTTTTCTCTATCCTTCATATTTCACATTATTTAATTTTATCATCACCTTAACACATAAGAATTTCTTAATTTTATATCAGTTACACATATTGTTACTCAGTTTTAAAATAGAAATGCTAGAGATTTTGTCTTGCTTTGTTTAGCAGAATGAGATTTTAGAAATTATTTCTACTGAATCTTATTTTCCATGAAAGTTTTGCTTGAGGATATCTTTTGACTTTACTATTGTTTATAAGGTCCTGTCACATTTTTAAAAAGAATTTTAAATCCTGAAAGGTAATACTCCTGTTAGATTCTTCCTTTTATAATCTTAAAAATAAGCTCTCAATCACTTTTGTTAAAGAATAGACGGTGATAAATGAGCACAGGTTCTAGAAAATGTAGAAAATGGTGAAGAGAATGTCTGGAAGCTTGGAGAGATTGCCTTTTAGGGTGAAGTTTTACCATAATTTTACCTTTCCTTATTTTCTTTTTAAATCTGCCATATTTCTATCCCACTCCATTTTCCACTAATGAGCATCACTGAAAAAAATGCAATAAACTCTTGTTGAAAAGCAAGCATATTTGTACATGAGGAAGAATATGGTTCACTGAAAAATAAAACTGGTCCAATTTCACCTATATAAAAAGAAATCTGCTAGGGGTCTTGTGAAATAACAAGGTCCAGCCAATAAATGTAGGAGATGAGGGAGACTTAAAAATTAGGAGACAATTTAGAAGACAGTTTCTATTTTTCTTCATATTGCATTTGTAGAAATTTAATCTTAAACTGCATTGTTTAATTAAAGGAAAATGTTAGGACTGTAGTTTTATTTCTGACCTAGAATATAGCATTAAGACCACAGATGCATCTAAAGTGTGTGTGTGTGTGTGTGTGTGTGTGTGTGTAACTGTGCTAACACAGATGTTGTTGTTGTTTAATGCCATCGAGTCGTAGACAACTCATAGCGACCCTATGAATGAACAGCCTGAGCACTGTTCATACATAGAGTTTCCGGAGGCAAGCCATTTCAGAAGTGGATGCCGCTCCTGCTTCCAGGCTTGATTTAGTCGGGAAGCTCCAGCCAACACTGTCCACCATGGGTGCCCATTACCACGATTGGCACATCACTGTCACAGGCTTCAGCACCACAGCAACCACGAGTTACCTCTGTACAGCAACACACAGACCAGTGCTATACCACCTAGAAGAATGTTTGACAGGAAGTTCCTGGCAAATAGTAGATGATGGATAAAGTTAATGTACTGTTTTCTTTGTTTCCAGTAAAAGTAATACTTTAATTTCAAAGGACATAAAAACATTAAGATTTGTGGAAGAAATTTCCTGGCCTAGAAAATAAAATTTTGCTCAGTCACATGAAAAGATAAAACCCAATGAAATCCTTACCAAAAATCAGTCTAGAACTTCAGAGTTATACCCTGACAGGTGAAAAGTCTACCTTTTTTTTACCGGCTCAAGCTCCCTTGTTGAGAAGGACCTCTCCAAATTGCTAAAGAGCAAGGATGTCTGTCCAAAGACTAAAGTGTGCCCGATCTAAGCCATGATCTTTGCAATTAGTTGCATCGCAAACTTAGACAATGAATAAGGATGACAGAAAAGAATCAGTACCTTTGAACTTCAGTGCCAGAGAAGAGTACCGAACATCCCACACAGATACACAGCTAAAATTTGTGTGTGTTTACAACTGAACTGTATAAACACAGATCCGCTAAAATTTGTATAAAAATGTCTGTGTGTGTGTCCTTGTTAATGTGATGGTTAAATTCTTACCTGTTAACTGAGAATTCAAGGAACTGAACCCCTCCTGGCAACTTCACATTGAAAAAACCTGGTGATCTCCTCCTTCGAGATTACAGTCCAGGACATTCTACCATGCAGTTCTGCCCAACCACACTGCGCTGCTGGCAGTCAGAATTAGCTCTGTGTCACCTAACAAACCCTTCTCGTGTGAGCCCCTTTGGAGCAATCATGGGTGGTGGCCAGGCATTCTCTAGTTCCAGTAAATTTTATAAAGCATTTGTCAATTTCTATAACACCTGGAAAGTTCTAACTTAGTATCTTTTTCTGATTTGATTTTTGTTCCCTTTAGTTATGTTTACTCTTAAACCAAATATTGTCAAGAATAGGTAAAAAAGGAAAGACTTTACTTCCTTTCTCATAGCTTATCCATTTAAGCCTGTCTGTTGTTCAATCAATCCAACTCAGAGTTACCCTCAATCATCAAGTGTCTGAGGCTATAAGTAGTGATAGGGTAAGACTGCCCATCTTTCTTCTGCAGAGCAGTTGGTAGTTCCACCTGCCAACTTTTCTGTTAACAGGCTGTTATGATACACACAAGCCATCTTAGTTCAGTTAGTTATTAAAAATTAATATCATCCAAAACAGTCTATTTTATTTTTTTCCTTTCCTTCCCCAATAAAGATCTAGTCAGCATTTTTTATTGCATCTCCAAAGAGCAGTGTCCAAAGAACACATCAGGGGTGTTTAACTGTCAGTAAACTCAGCAGCCTAACATCTTTTTTAAAATTTACTATTTGACTGGAATTTAATTTTAGAATATGACAGACTACAACATAATACAAGTGCTGATGGCCTGGTGGTGAGGACTTGTGCTGCTAATCCAAAGACGAGCAGTTCGAATTCACCAACTGCTCCTTGGGAGAAAGATGGACAGTCTTTTTTTCATGTGATTTACAGCCTCTGAAAGCTCACTGGGGTGTGAGCTATGATTTAATTCTGACTGAATGACACATACCAGCAGCACCAACAGTACACAGTATATCCTAAAAGCAATTCTAAAACCTTTTGTTTTGTCATGTTACTGAAACTCTATTTACTGTGTGTTATGAACACTGCATTTTTTTTTAACCATTTAGCATTTAGGCAATGGTTATGGAGTACTATTCAGATGTACTAGTTTGGGAATATGTATGACTTATATAAAAAGCTATTATAAATATAAACTGTCAATCTTTTTGTAGGCAAAATCATCTCTATTGATACTAGTTCCCTGAGAGCTGCTGGCAGAACCGGCTGGGAAGATTTAGTGAGGAAGTGCATTTATGCCTTCTTCCAACCTCAGGGCAGAGAGCCATCATATGCCAGACAGCTGTTTCAAGAAGGTAAAGTTGTGTTGTTTTGTTTTTTTTCTCTCCATGATTTTCATTAACTTTGCTCTTTATTAGCACTGGCTAGTTTATAAAATTCTTATGGCTTGATAAGTATTTTCTCCAAATTCCAGTTTTTGCAATTATCAGTTGTAGGAAAGGAAGAAATGGGTAAGCAAAGTAATTCATGAGTGGATCCTGAGATTTGGGATGCACATTCTAAAGAACAGGATATCATGTAGTGGTCACTCATTCATCCATCCATCCATTCATTCAGCAGACATGTATCAAGTTCCTAACATACATGGAACACCATGTAAGATGCCGCAGACGCATCAGGTTTCTGCCCTCAAGGAGCTCATAATAGGAGAAAATATGACCAACTCCAAACATCACTCTGTCTTTGAGAATTAGGGACCAGTTCAGGAGGAAGTAATATTTTTGTGTCTCTTAAAGATCATTCTCAGTAGAACAAGCATGTAAAAGGGCTTCTGGATAAATCTGAGATCTCTATCTACCATGCTTACTTCATGACCGCTGCAGCACTTGTATCTGTCTGCTGATTAAGATTGAATTTTCAAGTTAATATGTTTGTCTTTTCAAATGAACAAGTATTTTTTAAAGTACTGCTATATCATAGTACAATAGGAACATAAAACAAGTTTCGCCCCCCACACACACACACACAGAGACAAGGTAGGAAGAATTATTTGAGGATTAAAATCAAAACGTTTACAGACTCAGGGATAAAGGAACTAAAGGTGCTTTTAAAATATTGGCATGTAGGTCCCTGGGTGACATAAGCAGCTTGCAGTTGACTAGGAACCAAAAGGTGCGGGATCACACCCACCCAGAGGCCTTGCAGAAGAGAGGCTTGTCCTTCTGCTTCCTTGAAAACTCCAAGAAAACCCTTGGCAAGGTTCTGTTTTGTGGCACACAGGGTCAGTGTGGGTCAGAATTACCTTGAGAGTGCAAAACAACAGTGTCCATTAAATATAAAATCTTCAGGACAATACCCAGTGTATAGAATGTAATGACCCTGCCCCCTACCAAAAATGTGCTATCATGTGATTATGATAACCCCACATATTCCTTCCCTCAGATGTAATCTATTCTCTAAATTGTTTCTTTGGTAAGTGCTTCTCTTTGTAGCTACTCCTTAAAAATAAGAGTGACAAATATTTTTTTTATTCCATCACTTTTATTAATTTTAACCTTTTAAAAAATATGTAACTATAAATATAATTAGAGCTTTCATATGTGATTTAAAATCTGTAATAGCTTTACATATAAATATATATCTTTTTATATCTGTTTAAAGCTTTCCTAAGCTTACTGATCATTTTTCCATTAAACGTATTTTAGGTCATGTACTTCCTAGTGATGTATGTATGGAGGTAGTAGCTTTATTTTTTTTTCAGGAGGCCATCTGTATAAATCTGTATCTGTAAGTCTGTTATTTCTGGAACAGCTTAACCCCAAACTAGTTCTCCAGTGGGCCTGTTACCAGACTGATGCTACCCTTAAAACTGCCATTTTAGTGAATATGATCAATAATATGTACTTATACAAGTCTCCTACTTGATCTTAAAGTACAGCCAGATTTGTAAATGAGGACAGTAAACAATACTACCCATTGGGTGTAGAGGCTGTGACTCGCGCTACCAAGAGTGGTACTTGACCTGTGTTTAGGTCTAAGACTTTGTCTGCATTCTCTGCCTAAAATGTTTTACTTTATAAATTAGGCTTTTTACTTTGTAAATGTTTTATTAACTTTGTAAATTAGGCTTTCTATGTCTTTATTAGAACACTTTTAATATTTACCTAAAAGAATATCTAGATTAATGTCTCCTTTTCCATGTGACCAAGCTCCCCAAAGATGTAAGTCAGTCACAACGTGAGGTTATGTCTCTAAACAAAGCTCTCCATAAAACAATTTTATTTAGAATAAAGTAGAAAACAATACAAGTATAAAACAACATCTCTTCCTCATTAGTCATTTCTAATGCCTTTTCACCTTTTCCTTTTATTTTTTTAGTTCTTCAGTAAAAATAATCTTTATTTTTCTTACTAAGTTGTTTAATGCACACATGGCTCAGATTCTAGTGTTTCAGAAATTCAGGACAAATTGCCAAGTATTTTTCATGGCTTGAGTGCATATTTTTCTGATATTTTATGTTCAGCAATATCTAACCTGGTAAGAAACATAAAGATCATTTGTTAAAGATGTTTGACCCACTGAATTAAAAATATCTCAGAGTATCTGTATTTTTTTAAAATGCCAAAAGCAACACTTAGGTTCGCTAAAACTTGAGAAGCACTGATGTACTCATCAAGAATGGATAGAGGTGCAATTTGCCTTTGCAGGTTCCTTGCTGTCTCTTCACTTAGAGACATTACGGAAAGAGTAAAGCAGATTATGCCACTGTGTCTTTGATTTTGTGCAAAGCTTCACACTGATTGGTATTTAGGCAAGAAAAAAAATTATCCTCCATATGTCTTCTTTTTTTTTCTTACCTATTAAGTTATTCATTGAAGGCAAGTTTGGAAAAAACTCCCAGTCCTGCTTCATTTTGAGCCATTACTTCAAATCATGGTCCAGGTTACAGTGTTTTTCAAAGGTCCCTGATAAGAGTCATCTAAGGTAGCTGTTAAACCAGATTCCTAGACTCCATTTCACCCTGTGGAATCAGTCTTAAGTGTAAGCTTGTTATCAGGGAAATTTAGAAAACATACTGTTGTTGTTTTTAAATACCATGGAGTCAGAACTGACCCATAACTGACCTTCCAGAGGGTTTTCAGAAGCAGTTAAGTCGTGCAGGAGACTGCCCTTCCTCTTCCCGGGGAGCAGCTGGTGGATTTGAATTGCATACTTTTCTGTTAGCCATGCAGCTCCTTAACACAAAGTCACCAGCACTCTCTAGGATCTACAAAATATTAGTATCATTAACTAGGAAGTAATGTTTCAGGATCAAATTTTTTAAGTTTGTAACTGCTTTAATCTTTCACTTTTGGGAATTTGTAAGGCAAAGTTCCTGTGCTGTCTAGTATGATAGTCATCAGCCATGTGTGACTGTGAAACTGAGTTTCAAATGTTATTTAATTTAAATTTAGGTAGCTTCATTTGGAAATGGTTAGTGCTGATGATTGCACAACATGGTGAATGTAATTCATTTCATCATGCATGTAAAAAATGATTTTAATTGAAATTTTGTATGTATGTAAAATTCTACTACAAATAGCTAATCTGGCTGGTGGCTACTTTAATGGACAGTGCAGCTCAGTGTTGACCATCCAGTGGGTGTTTTCCCCAGAATAAGGAGATCATGAATAGCAGTGGATGGTAGTGAGGAAACAGATAAAATGATGTCATCAAAGGAGCATGAAATACATTGTCTGTCTTGTCTGGCCTTTAGATTTAGAATTCCAGACTAATAATTTCTTTTTTAAAGACTACTTTTTATTGTAGCTGTATTTTCCAAAATATATTTTTAAAAAGATATTAATAGTTGAGATTATTAATATTTGGGGTCTAGCAAACACATACTTCTACAAATATTTCCAGTTTCCATCAAAGAGTCTTTTTTTAATTTTTTACTGTTTAATTAGATATCACATTTCTGCATGTGTTACAATTGGCAAGTGTACCAGTGATTTAGCTCAAGTTGCTAGATGGGTAAGGAATATGGTTGGGTGGGTGTAAGTCATAATCTTTTCAATTACCTTTCTATCCTGGTTTTGTTAGTTAGGCGGATGGATTGACTTACACTACAGATACAGAATAGACTGTACCCTCTTCAGTTTAACTATATTCCCAAGACATTGAGATAGAGCATGTCTTCTTTTTATGTTCAGTAAATTAGTAGCTTCAAAATTATTTATTAATCAAATATCTTTTATGCCTTTTAAAATGAAATTGAAGCCTTTTGTGAAATGTCTTTGGAAAAAACTAGAACCAACATTTACAATAGACTAAAATTAGAATGGACATTTTTCATAGTAATTTTCATGTTTCGGTGGATTTGATTTTAACCTTGTTATCACTATTGACTTTCTCCTAAAAGACTTTCCTATTGTACTCTAAAACAGCAGTAATGTTTTATTGCTTGGTTGTCTGATAAATCCTTTTACATATTTAATAAACACTTACCTAAATGTAGTATTTATTCTTAATAAAGCCGTAAGACCAAAGTAAATTACATTGTTTATACAGTGAAATGACTACCCTTCCTGAAGTTTTGTTCTTTATAGCTGTAATCATTGACTTTAGCTTAATTTGCATATTAACTTTAAAAATTCACATTGAACATAATTATATATGTGAATCTAATAACAAACAAGACCATAGTGATTCATATTCCTGAATGAAATACTCAATTTAAATTTGGCTAAGACACTCTTTAATCAAAACTTATTAGAGTTTTACAAATTATAGCTCCATAAAACTGTTACTAAAATAACCAGCAAAAAAAATTAAAAAGACAGCAATAAAACCATAACACTTAGAATACAGAAAGTAAGAGAGGAGAGTACTTCCCAATAGTTCTGCTATTTGCTGTTATGTATCATTGAGTTGGAACTGACTCCTAGTTGATCCTTGACATTGGGGGGTATTGTGTGTCTGCAGTCAAGGTAGCTGTTTTTCAGAGGCTGTAAATCATGTGGAAGAAGACTGCCCATCTTTCTCCCTTGGAGCAGCTAATGGATTCACTCTACTTTTGAGTTGGCAGTGCAGCTCCTTACCCATTGGACCACCTTCTAGTGGATGCTTAATAAATTTGAAAAGCTTCTCCATTACACAGTGAGATTAAGCTTGTCGTTTTCTCCACTTGAGATTTTTTTTTTCTTTTCATAATCATAGTTTATGTGAGGAGGCACCCATTCAAGTAGGACATATCAGTTGGCATATTTCAGCTGGAGCGATTTTTACTTACCTGAGGTGTATCTACTTTGTTAGAACATTTTTTTGTTTTGTTTTGTTTTGAGTCTGAGAAGTTGGGAGGGTATAGACAGAATGAGGATCTAGGTAGAAATAAGGCCTGGTAACTCTCCTTTGCCCAGAATACAAGTGTCAGAATTTTAACTAGGTTTCTTTTTTGTTTGAAACAGTGATGACTCGTGGCACTGCCTCCAGCCCATCCTATAGATTCATATTGAATGATGGGACAATGCTTAGCGCCCACACCAAGTGTAAACTTTGCTACCCTCAAAGTCCAGACATGCAGCCTTTCATCATGGGAATTCATATCATCGACAGGTACTACTTATTCGGAGAGCTTCATATGAAATAAGTCAGTGTACATATTTCTTCTGAGAGAAATTTTTTCTTATACTTTTGATAATTAGAAAATAGAAATTTTACATCAGGCATAAAACTAGTATGATGAGTGTACAATCGGTATGTCCTAATTGGGTTTTATAGTTTTATTGCCTTGCCATAGCTTTGTAGTTCAAAAAGGGAGACAGGGAAGCTGAGGCTGAAAGTATGTGTTCTGAAGGGTAAAACCTAAAAGTTGGCTAAAAACTTAGAACTTTTCCATCTGTGTAATTATGGTCTTTAATAATAGAGTTCAGAGTTTATTAACATTGTCATGATCTTGATTTTTAGAAGTGCTTTATTTTCATTGAGGCAAATTGATTGGCTCCTGATTTGAAGTTGACAGTTATTCACAGATTGTACAAATCATTGAACAGTCAACTTGAAATTTTTTAATGTCATGGCCACCATTTTCTAATTATTTCTGAGTATGTTTTATACTGGTATATGTGGGAAAATGCATGGAACTTTTCTTCTGTTAAGCTCTCAAAACCTTTATGTTTAAAACTATTTTAAATTTAGTATTAAACCAAAGCCAGGACATTGTCCCTCACTTCATCTTTTTCTCATCTAATATAGTTGCTCCTACGACCATGGTAATAGCAGTCACCAGTCTGCTGTCATAGCTCTGGATTTGAATGCAGAACTCAGAGAAAAGCTGAATTCAATATTATGTTTTATTTTGTTTCTAATGTTAGTTTAATTTGTGCTCTTGTTAATAGAATTAGCACAGTTCTTTTCTCATATTGTGATTTCTCTTTCAAAACATCTGCTATGTCTGCATATCACCCTTTTTAAGTTTTACATCAGTGACATAGTATTTTCCTTACCCAGTCTTCCTCTTTGGAGTTGAAATACTTAAAAGCTGTAACAAGAGAGTCATGGGAAAAGTACTTTTTAAACAAAGGTGTGGAATGTTTCTTGTCAGCTAAAAGTGTAATGAATGTTAATTGTTTATATTAAATTCAGGTAATATTAAAAGCACATATGTAGTGACTATTGGATTTTTTCCAAAGTTAAAATTTATTTCTTATGTATCTAAAAACATTGTTAAATTTGAGAGACCATAAATACTACTATCTATTAAGTGCATAGTACTTCACGGTAGTACTAAACTAAATTTACTGTTTTTATTTAAAGTGATACTGAAGTTCTTTATATCATAGTTTGCAACATTCTTGAGATTAATGATTTTTTTTTATATTGTGCATCATAAAAAACAGATGAAGATATTTGACTAATGTCTTTTCCCCCTTAGGGAACACAGTGGACTTTCTCCTCAAGATGACACTAGTTCTGGAATGTCAATGCCCCGAGTAAACCCCTCGGTCAATCCTAGTATCTCTCCGGCTCATGGTGTGGCTCGTTCATCCACATTGCCACCATCTAACAGCAACATGGTACCCACCAGAGTAAACCGCCAGCCGAGCTCAGACCTTCATGGCAGCAGTCATAGTAATACTAGCAACAATCAAGGGAATTTTGGATGCTCACCTGGAAATCAGATTGTAACCAGTGTTGCCTTAAACCAGGGACAGGCTGGTTCTCAGAGCAGCAATCCCTCTTTAAACCTCAGTAATTCTTCTATGGAAGGTACAGGAATAACCTTAGCACAGTTCATGTCTCCAAGGAGACAGGTTAATTCGGGATTGGCAACAAGGCCCAGAATGCCAAACAATTCCTTTTCTCCTAATATCCCTACATTGAGCTCCCCTGTTGGCATGGCAAATAGTGCCTGTAATAATAACAGTAACCGATCTTACTCAAACATCCCGGTAACATCTTTACAGGGTATGAATGAAGGACCCAATAACTCCGTTGGCTTCTCTACCAATTCTCCAGTCCTCAGGCAGATAAGCTCACAGAATTCACCAAGCAGGTTAAATACACAACCTGGAAAAGCTGAGCCCAAAGACAACAAAGAAATTACATCCATTTTAAATGAAATGATCCAGTCTGACAACAGCTCTGGTGATGGCAAACCTCTGGATTCAGGGCTTCTGCATAACAATGATAGACTGTCAGATGCGGACAATAAATATGCCCAGACCAGTCACAAGCTAGTGCAGCTCCTGACAACAACTGCAGAGCAGCAGTTACGGCATGCTGACATAGACACTAGCTGTAAAGATGTACTCTCCTGCACAGGCACTTCCAACTCTGCCTCTGGTAATTCTTCCGGAGGTACTTGTCCCTCCTCTCATAGCTCACTGACAGAACGGCACAAAATTCTACATCGGCTCTTACAGGAGGGCAGCCCCTCAGATATCACCACATTATCTGTTGAGCCTGATAAAAAGGACAGTGCATCCACATCTGGGTCAGTGACTGGACAGGTACAAGGGAACTCCAGTATAAAACTAGAACTGGACTCTTCAAAGAAGAAAGACTCGAAAGACCATCAGCTCCTACGCTACCTTTTAGATAAAGATGAAAAAGATTTGAGGTCAACGCCAAACCTGAGCCTGGATGATGTGAAGGTGAAAGTGGAAAAGAAGGAACAGATGGATCCTTGTAACACAAACCCAACCCCAATGACCAAAACCGCTCCTGAAGAAGTTAAACTGGAGTCTCAGAGCCAGGTAGGTAATTCCTCACTTCATAGAATAAGCACTTCTTGTTCTTTTCATTTTTTCATTACGTTTATTCTAATCAGAGACTAAATTTAAATTCAGGCTCTTTTGTCCTGTCCATTGGGTGTGTTGTTATAGGTGCTATCAAGTCGACTACATAACTCATAGCAAATTTATACATAATAGCTTTGAATCCTGCTCTATCCCTAACCAATCTCACTGTCTCTTGACAGTATTGTGTCAGTCAGTCCATCTCATCAGAGTCTTCCTCTCCTGCGCTGTCCCTCTACCCTTCCAAATATAATACCCTTCTCCCAGGACTGGCCCCTCCTGGCCATATGCCCAAAGTATGTGAGACGGAGCTTTAAAATCCTTGCCTTCAAGAAGCAGCTTGGTTTCAACCTCTCCAGGACAAATCTGTTAGTTCTCTTGACAGTCAATGGTTTACTCAGTACTCTTCTCTGGCACCACAACCCAAAGACATCAAATCTTCTTCCGTTATCCTCTTTCATTATCCAACTTTCTGATGCATAGCAAGTAATTGCAAAGACCATGGCCTAGATCAGGGACACCTAGTCTCTAGACTTAACATTCTTGCTCTTCAGCACTCTGGAGAGGTCCCTGACAGCACATTTTCCTAATGCAGTTTGCCTTTTAATTTCCTGACTGCTGGTGCCAAGAGTGTTGATTGTAGATCTGAGCAAGCTGAAATTGTTAACAATCTCAATCTCTTCCATATATCACGTTCTACCAATTGGCTCAGTGGTGAGAATCTTAGTTTTCTTGATGTTGAGCTTCAGTCTATATTGCAAACTACAGTCTTAATCCCTCTGTAGCAGATGCTTCGGGTCCTCCTCAGTTTCAGCAAGCAAGGTTGTGTCATCTGCATAACACATTACTCCTCATATAGTCCAGCCTCTCGAATGATCCATTCTGCCTACAAATTGAAAAGGTATGGAGATAGGACAAATTTCTGACACATTCCTTTTCTGATTTTGAACCATGCAGTACTTCCTTGCTTTGTTCTGACCACTGCTTCCTGAGCCGGGTATACATTGCACATGAGCACAATCAGGTGTCTGGGATTCCCTTTCTTCTCAAGGTTAGCCAGAGTTAATTGTAATCCATGCAGTCAGATGTCTTTGCATAGTCAATGAAACACAGACATTCGTCTGGTACTCTGCTTTTGGCCAGGATCCATCCAACATTGGCTATGATGTCCCTAGTGCCTTTTCTAAACCCAGCTTGTGTTTCTGGTAGTTCTCTGTTGATGTACTGCTCCAGTTGCTTTTGAATAATCTTTTAGCAGGTTTTTGCTTGCGTAAGATATTAGTGACATTGCTCAATAATTTCCACATGCTGTTGGATCACCTTTTGGGGGCAAATGGAAAATAAATATGAATCTCTTCCAGTCAATTGACGAGGTGATAGTCCTCCATATTTCTTGGTACAGCCTGATGAGAAATTCCAGGGCTGCATCAGTTTGTTGAAATATATCAATTGGTTTTCCATCAATTTGTGGGACCTTGATTTTTTGCTAATTCCTATTGAGCAGCTTGAACTTCTTCCTTCATCACCATTGTGTCTTGAACATAAGTTATTTCATGAAATACTTCTGTGTCGGCCAGTACTTTTTGGCCCAGTGACTCCGTGTACTCCTTCCATCTTCTTTTGATGCTTCCTGGATCGTTCACTATTCTGCCCATAGCATCCGTAAGTATTGCAAATCAAGGTTTGTATTTGTTCTTTAGGTCCTTCAACTTAGGAAAGAGGAGTGGTAGGGTCAGAAAGAGGAGTTGGTGGAAATGGATGCTGGAGGAAGTGGATGCTGACAGAGCAGGGCAGGGGCGGAACCAAATCACAGGTGCCAAAGGTTGGGAGGAGGCGGGGAACCAACACTTCTGGATAAAATGCTTGCCTGCCAGATACTGCTCTTAAGTTGATCATCTAAATTAAGGCAGGCTAGGGAAAAGGATTGGCCATTCACTTCCAAAACAACAGGCCTTCAAAACCCTATACACAGTAGAGTCCACTCGGTATACATACACTAATTCATGTTTATATCAATGATTGAAGTCACAGGATATGACTCAGAAGTTCTCTTTGGATTCGGAGAGCCTACAGTACTATTCTAGAAAGCACTCTAACAAAATAGATTTTTTTTTCTTTCTCTCTACAAAATCAGAGTTCACATTTTTGGATGTTTTTAAAAATGCTCTGAAAAATAAAAAAGAAATAAAATGCTCTGAACCCTTTCACGTACCTCCACCTATTGAATCCAGATCTCTTAGAACAGAGCCCAGGAATCTGTCTTAAAGAAGCTCCCTGGAATCCTGAGGGTACCTCCAACATGAAAGTCAGAAAGACTTGTGAGAGCAAGGATACTTTGTCTGACTTTCTTTTATCTCCTTTGAAAGCTTTTTCTAAAACTCTTTACCTCCTTATCTGATTTTAACAACCCTGAGGCCCCATCAGGAAACAGGACTTGAATGTTTGGGGTAGTAGGCTATCCAACGTAGCCTGAAAAGGAAGTAAGTAGTCTTTCTATCCTTTAGGGGGCTCTGGTGGCCTAGTGGCAAGAAGCTCCACTGCAATCTCAAAGGCATGTGCTTCTGATCCAGCAGCTGCTCTGTGGGTTTACTGCCTCTGAAAACCCTCTGGAGGGTCAGCTATGGGTCAGTTCTGACTCAGTGGCACACAACAGCAGCTACATAGTTTTCATGCATTAAAAACCTTAACGGAGCTCTGGTGGCTTTGTCACCAGGTAGATTCTTGTTGCACTACTAACACAGGGGCCACACTCTTCTGGCGATTTGAATCCACCAGTAGGTCCTCTCATGTGATTCATAGCCTCAGAAAACTACCAAAGGGTCAGCTAAGGGTTGGTTCTCAGATTGGCAGTGAGAGAAGGAATATTAGACTTTGGTGGTGGTAATAGTGTATTATATGCTAACCTTCCAGTTAGCAGTCCAAATCCACCCTCTAAGGACAAACTATGTGCAACCTGTTCCTATATAGATGCACAGTTTCAGAAATCCAGTGAAGAATGACCACAAGTTGGACTCAGCTTATTAACAGTAGGTTTGGTTTCGTTTATATCAGTCCGAGTTGGGGATGTGTGATAATAGAAAGCCGTTTCCTTTATTGACCAGAATCCATTTGTTGTGGTGAACTATGAAAGAAACTAAGAAAAACAGAATATGCTCTAAACTCTGGTAATTTACAATTTATTTCAAGATAAAATACAGACATTTATAAAGTCACTTTAAAGATGCATGTACAAAGCAATTGCTCATCCTCTGCTGTGAAACAGAATTCATACTCTGTATACCCAGGTCCTTCAGTTTCTTGAAACCAGATTCATTTTCTGCTCTCATCTCAGAGACTTCTTACTCAAGTGTGGTTCATTCCATGCACTTGGCATGTTTGCTGTTCTACTCCGAAGCATCCTCCGCCCTGCCTTCCTTTCCATGTCTTCTGAACTTCTGTCATCTCTATAAAGCCTTGCCCATCAGCCCTAGTTCGATGGTTTCTTTTCCCTCTACTGTTATGGTAGTTTGTATCATTTCTATTTAATATTTGTAATAACATGTTTTCTTTACATTTATTTGGGTTCTTAGGAGATAAAGGCATCTCATATTTCTTGATACTGCACAAATACTGTTTCTTTTTAAAGCTGAAGGATAACTTTAGTAATAACTATACTCTGAATCTTTTGAATTAACTTCAGAAATAACCACTTTGTAAAGTGCTGCCATTGTTTAATCATCTTGGTACATTTATTTTGGTTTGCACATGCATTCGTTTATTTGGCATTCATCCTAGGCATGGGAGTACAGGGTCATAGATAGGCATATGTTCACTCTTAGTAGTAATGCCGAACAATTATCCATAGCCTGATCATTCATTATAGTTGTTCTGTACTTTTGGCAGTACTTGGGTAGTGTCCATGGTATCTCATAATTATCACTTGCATTTTCCTGATAAATATGTTTTGGTCATTTATATATTGGCATAGTCTGTACATAGTTGTGCTGATAGCCCTAAAGTCACTACCTCTCAGGGGATTTGAATGTACCAGTGACTCTTGTGTGATTTGCAGCCTTGGCAACCTTAGGCGATGGTCAGCTGTTGAGTCCATTCCAACTTGATGGCAATGAGTTTGAGAGTTTTTTTGTGAGTTACCTATTCAATTCTTACTCATTTTCTTATTGACTTGTAAAGATTCTTTACATGTTTGGGTAAGATTCCTTTATTGGTAAATAGTTACAGATCTCTTCTTCATGTCCTAACTTCTCTTTCTATTCTCTTACTGGTAGTTTTTAATGACATGAAGTCCTTCATTTGAATGTAGCCCAATTGGTCCATATTTTCCTTTGTGGTTTTAAACATGTGTAATAAAAAACATGTTCAGAAATGTTCATGGTAACTTTGTGTTATATCAATAGAATGAGTAAGAATATTTCTATATATTTGTAATAGAATATGATTCAGTAATGAAAATTAATGTGGTGCTGCCATATGTGGCAAAACATCTGGGCTTACACTGCACCATGTTAATTAAAAATAAAAAAAAAACACCAGGTATTTTTTAAAATGCGTAAATGTTAGTATTTATGAAATCTAAAAATAAAAACTGCACTGCAATCCTGAAGGCACGCAGTTTGAATCCACCAGCCGCTCCCTGAGAGGAGGATGGGCAGTATCCTCTCGTGCAATTAACTGCCTCTGGAAACTGGCTAGAGAGTCAGCTAGGGGTCAGCTCTCACTTGATGGTATTCAGTAACAGCAAAGTTATTATAGTAGAATAATATAATTGTGATAAAGATGGCTTTGTTCCGACCCCACACAGATGTAGGGACCCCTGTGTATTTTAGAAGATCTGCTTCTTATACTGTGAAATATTTAAGTAGAGAGTAGCCTTTCTGAGAATTTGAAACTGATATATTATCCATAAAAATACATTTTCCCAAACTTTTTTTAAATTCTAAAGAAAAGATATGCCAAGGTAAATTAATTTTTTATTTAATCATAAAAGTAATCCATTTTAATATTTTTTAAAACATATGTAATAGAAGAAAGTCAGCAGTAAAAGACATCACCCTAACAGTACTCTTCCCCTCCCCACATCCCTTCCCCCTCCCTATGTTCACTCTCTTAAAATATTCATTCACTGTTGCACAGTTACTTCCCCTTCCCCAGTGCTCTTTGCAATGCACCTCTTATTCTGGGCTATTATCTTATGTGTAATTCCTAATCATATATCCCTAAGACTGTCCTTTCAGGGATCATTTCTATAGTTCATTACTAATAATATTTTCCTTTTAAATAATTCTTTCCTTCATCTGTTCCAATGCAGTGTTATCTATCCACTCTTAACCTATTTTCTTCCCAACCCCCATGTCAGACCTGCTTTATAACAGTAGTGCTATGCAGTATTTGTCCTTTTGTCACTGAGATATTTCACTAAGCATAATGTCCTCCAGGCTCACCCACGTTGTGTAATGTTTTATGAGTTATTGTTTTTCAGTGCTGCATAGTAGTCCATTATATGAATGTATCATAGTTTTTCTTTTTGTTTGTTGATGGGCACTTGGGTTGCTTTCATCTCTGCTATTATAAATAATGCAGCAGTAAACATGAGTGTACATATATCTGTTTGGCTAGAGGTTCTGGCTTCTTTAGGGTATATTCCCAATAGAGGAATCACTTCATCAAATGGTATTTCTATTTCCAACTTTCTGAGAAAGCCCTAACTGCCTCCCATAGTGGTTACACCATTTTACACTCCCACCAACAGTGAATAAGGGTTCCAATCTCTTCACAACCTTGCCAACATTTATTGTTTGCTACTTCATTGAACTTTGCTTTTGTTGCTGAGGTGAGATTATATAGTTGTTTTTATTTGCATCTCTCTGATAGCTAGGGATTTTGAACATTTCCTCATGTGTTTGTGTGCCATCTGAATGTCATCTTTGATGAAGTATCTAGTCATACCCTTTGTTTATTTTGCAATTGGGTGGTTTACCTTTTTCTTACTGAGGTGCTGGAATATTGTATAAATTTTAAATATTACTCCCTTATTAGATAAATCATTGCCAAATATTTTTCCCAGTCTGTGGCTTTCCTTTTTACCCTGTTGGAAAAGTTTTGGTTTTGGCTTTCCAGGTTTGTTTGTGTGTGTTTTTGAGAAGTTTTTTGATGTACAGAAGGATTTGATTCTTAGAAGGTCCCAGTAATCTATTTTGTTCTCTTCTGGTTATAGGTTAACAGTACATTTGACATTTCTTTCCAGTGCTGTCTTTTCCTTTGCATAGATTTTACACTAAGATATATTAGATAAATACTATGTGTCTGTTCTCTTATACCCTAAAGTATTAGTATATCATTAACATCTAAAATGTTTTCCAATAGAATGAAAACTGTTGCAGAGAGTATCCAGTCATTTTAATTATTTATTTTCTCTCCATTCTTTCGTCCTTTTGCTTAATTCATAGAGTTTAAAGGAGCAGCTTTTTTCCCCTCATGTTGTTTTAGATCAAAGAGTAGAATATGTTTGCTCTAACTTGGCCTTCATTTTTAGTTCACAGCTGACCTTGATCAGTTTGACCAGTTGCTGCCCACGCTGGAGAAGGCAGCACAGCTGCCAGGCTTGTGTGAAGCGGACAGGATGGATGGTGCCGTCACCAGTGTCCCTATCAAATCAGAGATCCTGCCAACCTCACTGCAGCCCACCACTGCCAGACCCGCTCCCAGACTAAATAGTATGTATCAGAGCAAAGCCATGTTTTAAATGCTTAATGGTAATGTGAGGACTTTATGTCTTATCCCTGCTTCACAGACTTCTTGTTTGCTAGTTGTGCGTTGGTTAAAAAACTAACTAAAAAGTCAGAGGTTCGAACCCACCAGCAGTTATATGGGAGAAAGAGAAAGCCAGCTGCTTCTGTAAAGATTTACAGCATTGGAATCCTTGAGTGGTTGTCCTCTGCACTGTGGGTCACTGTGAGTCAGAATCAACTCTATGGCAATGAGTTTGAGTTGGGTTTGGTTTACTGACAGTGAATTGAGTGAATGTGTCATTAATGGTGCTATAAGTAGTATACGAACACAATGCATATACGAACAGAAATATTTCACTCACTCTGTGTATTTGCATTTATAGTATGACTTCTACTCCCTTATAATTTATGCTGGGGGAATAGAGAAACAATTTTGAGTTCTTACACAAAATATTCCTTAAGGACATTTATAGAAGTAATATATTAGGTCAGGTCATATTTTTTTCAAAATTATATTCTTTAAACTTTGGTCCTATGAG